TATCTGCTTAGCAGCCACGATCATTATATTCTTATCCTACAGCCCCTTCAAAGTCACTAACATCCAGGCAGGCACTCAATTGGTGTTGGCTGTTAAGAGAGTCAAAGTTTATAGCAAAGATGATCCCTCATATGCAAAACTGGGTCTGGAGGACTGAGGGGATGGGGGGGGGGGGGGGTGCTTGCCATGTGCTGACACCCGAGTCCTCCCTGATGCCTGAGAGTCCCTGCATAAGGCCGCAGTGGCCCATATAAAAACAACCATTAGCCAGTGGACAGAAATGCCACGAGCTGTCCATCTTGCTTATGTAAGAAATAGCATACAAAATAAGTCTTAAAATCTATGGATTCCAATCGCAGCAGTTAAAAACAAAGCAGCCCATTACCCAACAGGGTAAGGTCACCATCAATTTACCAAGGTAAAAACCTTTGTAGTTTCTCTTGCATCTGAAACTTCATCCTTTTTATGTGTGTCAAGTCTTATCCTTTTTGTCCCACTCCAGTTCTCAACCAAATAAGAGAAGGACAAGAAAGACTAAGGCATAGAGTGGCCAAAATACTACTTTCATATGATAATGTGGCTTAAAACTGCTTGCAACAAAGCTTCCTAATAATAACCCAGAATTCAAAGATTTACCCACCCATATACCTACACACACACACACACACACACACACACACACACAGCCCTAGACTACAGCATGGAGGGCCAAGTAGAAAGTGTTCTCTCTACAGCCAGGCAACTTCCAGAAGAAGGGAGACAGGTTGGGGCAGAGCTGCTATCTGTGTCCGTTTCTCCTTCCAAACTCACAAACCACATCTGTCAACCTGGAAGAAAGCCTGAGGAATCTAAAGAAAGGATACCCTCTCTCCCTCAAGAGATTTGTCTTGGCAAATCTTTGCAAGCATGTCCACAGAGTAAGTCCCTAGCAAAGGGAATTGTGGGTCATTGTTATCTTCATAAATATTGCTGACTGTCCCTCTGGGAAGTCGGCAACCATTCATTACCCACAGTAACCAAGCATGAGGATTCCCACTAACCACCCTCTCACCGCTAGTTCTAGATGCCTTAAGCATTTTTATTTCCCCAATCTAATGAGAGGGAGGAGGAATGGCATCTCATGGTTATTTTGACTTGCATTTTCTTAATTATGAACAAGCTTAAGTTTCATTCTTTATGATTTGCCTTTAGTTTTTCTATAATTTTATTTTACATGTTTCCTCCCTTTTTCAAGCTTATCCATCCTTTTATTACTGATTTATATGAGCATATAGAGAATTGAGGGAGTCACTCATTTGTTTTAGGTGGTGAACATCTGTTTTCCTAAGCTGCTATTCTCTTCTGAATTTTTTTTTGCCATTACATAATTTTTAATTATTATGAATATATATTGAACAATCTTTTCTGTTCTATTTCTCTTAATAAAATGCTCATTTTAGAGTGGCTTGTTGAGCTAAATGAACATAACAAGTGCAGATTTAACTGGATTTCTTTCCCAACCTTGACAATAAACACTATGTGTCTCCTTTAAATCATGTTCAAGCTTCCATGAGGGTGAGAGGTAGGCTCTAAGCCGTTTACCTGCTTTTACAGAGCAAGTCAAGTCCTATCTGTTCTATTCATCATCTTCTGTATGAATTTTTATTTTAAAAAGAAATTGAACACTGCTCAAGTCAGTGGAAGGGGGGGAGAATGTTGAAACTGACCCCCATGTTAAATTATGATGCAATTTAAAAAAACAGAGACTGACACTGCCAGTCCACACTGAGGCCAGACTGACTATTGGTGCTGCTCACTGAAGGCTGTCCTCCATACACCCTCGCCCTGTCCCACTCCAGCCTCCCTCATCCGAGTCTAGCTGACAGTCACTGCTCTAGTGGAGGAGGGCACACTAACCTGAGCCTGTGCCTTGCTTATTCATACACCTACGATGTTTTATCATCTGAGATTCTCTTCTGGCAGCAACAATGACCATGTGCTCTGAAGCCAGGCCTGTGGGCTGGAAATCTCCCATGGCACGGATATCACTGCAAAGGGCACAACTCCTACCTTCTGGTGGCCATGGCTGAAGGTACCTCCTGAAATGGCTGTGTGTCATCTGTGTGGTGCTTGTCAGTGGATAGAACATGCCCGGATGTAGACTTTCACCACAGTATAACGAAGGTATCACTGGGCTTATAACCAGAAAATGTGGCTTCTGCTTGAATACTGTAAATCACCTGGACTGTAAGGCAAATGTTCCTTTAATAGGACACAGGAAACAATATCCACCAAAAATATACATGTTAGATTTAATTAGGTTTAGAAACTTCCAATCAAAAGAAATGAATTTTCCCCTTATGTTCTTTAAAATACCTATGACTGTTTACCCAAAACCTAATTGGTTGAGTGGATAGAGCTTCAGCCTATAGACCAGTGTTTTTCAACCTTTTTTGGGCAAAGGCACACTTGTTTCATGAAAAAAATCACGAGGCACACCACCATTAGAAAATGTTAAAAAATTTAACTCTGTGCCTATATTGACTATATATAAAGTAATTCTCTTGAATAGGAATCAAATAAACACAAAGAAAGTATTTTATAATTACTTTATTATGAAATATTAAGTAAACAAAATAGTGAAAAATTATAAAATTCTTGTCTTGTCTGCACCTACGGCACACCAGGCAACATCTCGCGGCACACTAGTGTGCCGCGGAACAGCGGTTGAAAAACGCTGCTATAGACTGAAAGGCCCCTGGTTTGTTTCTGGTCAAGGGCATGTACCTTGGTTGCGGGCACATCCCCAGTAGGGGGTGTGCAGGAGGCAGCTGATCGATGTTTCTCTCTCATCGATGTTTCTAACTCTCTATCCCTCTCCCTTCCTCACTTTAAAAATTCAATGTACAATAGTATATTTTAAAAAGATAATAAAATAAAATATCTATGACTGTTTAAAGTAAAAATTACAACATAGGATCATGAGGGTGAAATGGGTTTCTGTGCAACACATATGGTTGGGTCTCTTATTGAATCTGACATTTTCTATATATTAATTAGAATGTTGGGAATATATATTTAATATAATTATAAATATCATTATACTTTTATCTATTATCTTGTTACTTCTAAAAAATTTTAATTGTTTTTTCAAGTGAGAGGAAGAGAGACAGAACATCAATGGGAGAGGGAAACATTGATAGGCTGCCTACTGCACGCCCCCTACTGGAGATCCAGCCCACAGCCCAGGCATGTATCCTGACCAGGAATCACACTGACAACCTTTCAGTGCTTGTGATGGACATCCGACCAATGGAGCTCATTTTTTAAAAAATATATTTTATTGATTTTTTACAGAGAGGAAGAGAAAGGGATAGAGAGTTAGAAACATCAATGAGAGAGAATCATCAATCAGCTGCCTCTTGGACACCTCCCACAGGGTATGTGCCCGCAACCAAGGTACATGCCCTTGACCGGAATCGAACCTGGGAACTTTCAGTGCGCAGCCCAAGGCTCTATCCACTGAGCCAAACTGGTTTCGGCTGGAGCTCATTTTTGAGCCAGGATTGTTTGCAATTTTACATTCTAATTTTTAGTTTCTTTTTTTCTACTTTGCTGCTTCCTTATGGGTTGAGTCTTTATTCTGTTTTTCTCTACTGCTGGCTAGTTTGATTTACTTCTTTGTTTTATGTTTCAATGGTTATGCTGTGCTTTACAATATACAACTTTAACATATTTTAATTTTACTTAAAATAAATATTATGTCATATAAAATGTATTTTTTGAACTATTGTTGCCAACATATATTGTAAACCTCATGCCACACTGTTATTTTTGTTGAACCATTCAGTTATTTTAAGTAAGTTTTTAAAAAGAGAACAAATATTTTATATGTAGGGCACAAAGATCTTTAAAATATTTTCAAATCAACTCTAGAAATATATAAAAATTGTATTGCATCAGTACCAAGGATGATTTGCCCTACAAATGCCTATTGGTTTAACATTCAAAATATAATCATTGTAATTCACCATCTTAATGGAAAAGAGGTAAAAATTCATTTAATCATCTCAAAAAAAAACACAAAACGTAGGGGGATCATTTGACCAAATATAATATCCACTAATAATAGAATATCTCAGCAATCAAAAATATAGGAAAACTTTCTAAATTTCATGAAGTGAATGTCTGAAAAATCTTGAGTTGAAATCATTTTTTTCTTTTTTCCCATCAATATTTATACCCTCTTCTACCTTCCCCACCACCTTCACACCCTGCAATTACCACTGTTGTCCTTATGAGTCCTCTTTTTTCTTTTTGCTCAGTCCCTCCACCACCACCCCAACAGTCCCCACTTCACCAGCACCATCTGCCTGCTTGGTCTCTATGAGTCTGTCTCTATTTTGCTTGTTAGTTCAGTTTGTTCATTAAATTCCACATATGAGTGAAATCATATGGCACTTGTCCTCCTCTGACTGTTCTCCAGGTCCATTCAGGCTCTTACAAATGGTGAAATTTTCTTCATTTTTATGGTTTAGTAGTATTGCATTGTGTATAACTGTTTTATCCACTCATCTACTGATGGACACTTGGACTGCTTCCAAATGTTGGATAGGAGAACATATTCACTGATACGTCTGATAAGGGGTTAATATTCAAAATTTATAAAGAATTTATAAAAATCAACACACAGAAAACAAACACTCCAGTTAAAAAATGGGAAAAGGACCTAAATAGACACTTCTCCAAAGAGGACATACAGATGGCCAATAGACAATAAAAAGATGTTCAATGTCACTAATCACACCAGAGAAATGCAAATTAAAACCACAATGAGATATCACCTTATACCTGTCAAAATGGCTATCATCAGTAAATCAACAAACAATAAGTGTTAGTAATAATGTGAAGAAAAGGGAACCCTTGTGCACTGTGAATAGGAATGCAAATTGGTGCAGCCACTATGGAAATCAGTATGTAGTTACCTTAAAAAATTTAAAAATAAAACTGCCTTACGACCTAGCAATTTTACTTCTGGGAATTTATCCAAATAAACCTGAAACACTAATTCAAAAGACTATAGGCACCCATATGTTTATTGCAGTATTATTTATAATAGTCAAGATTTAAAATAATTTATAAATATGAAATATTTAAGAGTTTCTTCTTAAAACTTAGAACAGGTAAAGATATCCACTCTTAATACATTTATTCAACATTTGAATGTGTGTCCTAGTAATACAATAAGGCAAAAAAAAAAAAAGACCATAATCTCTATTCATAGATAACATAATTGATTATGTGGAAAATCCTATGAATTATATAAAACAACTATTAGAGTGCAAATCTAAATGTATCCAGGTTGTAGGATGTGAGGTAAATAGTTAAAATCAACTATATTGTAATTATATTTTTTGTATACTGGTGGTATCAATTTCATTTATAATGGCATCAAAAATATAACATACATACTAAGGAATAAATTAGTATGTAACTTCTGCACTGAAGACTACAAAATTCTGCTGAACATGACCAAATAAGACTTTAATAAATGAAGAGATACAACATACTTATGGATTAGGATGTGCAATATTTCTTAGATGTCAATTCTCCTCAAACACAATCTTGCAATAGACTTTTGGTAGAAATCAACAAACTAATTTTAGAATTATATGAAAATATAAATGACCTAGAATAGCAAAAGCTACCTTAAAAGAATAACAAAGTTGGAAAACAAAAGCTGCCTGATGCCAAGATTTACTATAAAGTTACAGGATAATACAGTATGAGCACAATGACTAAAAAAATGGTAAATATAATAAAATAAAGTCCAAAAACAGAGCCACATTTATTTGATCATCTAATTCTTCACAAAGGCCAAAGATATCCTTGAGGAAATCAAACCCTTAACAACAAATGATGCAGAAGAATGGGGCATTCATACAAATAAGTAAACATTGACCCCTACCTCACATCATACACAAAAATTTATTTGAGAAAAATTATAGACCTAAATATGAAAACTATAACTGGAACACCTCTAAAAGAAGAAGAAAAATACTATCACTTGCAAGTAGAAAATGTTTCTTCAATTTTCACAGAAAGCAACAACCATATAAGAAAAATAATAATATATTAAACTTGATCTAAACTAGAAGCTTGTGCTCAAAAGACCCCAGTAAATTAATACGTAGGTAAGTGACAGACTGGAAGAAAATATTTACAAAACATATATCTTACAAGGATTGGTATTAAAACTATATCTGAAATTCCTATAACTCAATAATAAAATACAACACAATTCAAAAATGGACAAAAATCTTGAAGAGACGCTTTTGAAAAAGAAGATACCAAAGCATTTATATGCTTATTGGTTATATGGCCAATAAGCAAATAAAAAGTGCTCAATATAATTATTCTTCATAGAAATGCATATTAAAACTGCAATGAGATATTAATACACATCCATCAGAATGATTAAAAATAATGACTAATAACTCTAGTTGTTGCTGAGGAAGTGCAACAAGTATAAAAGAACTCATATATATTACAGGTATTTATCAGAAACATGAAAGCATTATGTCCACAAAAAGTATTGTAGAAGAAATTTAACAGAGGATTTACTCATACTGATACTGTTGTAATTAGCTACATTATTAATAAGTAGGGGCCTTAGTGTACGAATTCATGTACATTGAAAGAAACTGTGGGCCACCAGGCTGCAGTGGACACAGGGGCAGGTCTCAGCACATCCTCCACACCCCCGCCCAGCACCTCCCACCACGGCCCCCTGTCCCATCTGCAGGCAGCCCTGCTCTCGCCACTGCCACTCCCACACTCTGACAACACCAACCACACTCATGCCCGCTGATGATGTGGAGCAATTGGGGCCAGTGCCAGCAGCATGTGCGGGCAGGGACAACACTGTCAGCAGGTAGGAGTGGTGGCTGCTGCCCAAATCATCCCTCCGGAGCAGGGGGAGGTGGAGAAGCTCTCAGGGGTGTTTAGGGCAGGCAGCCACTGCTCAACCCCATTGACGGCACTGAGTAATCGGGACAGGTGCCAGGTACCAACAACAGGTGCGAGCAGTGACTCCAGTGCCAGCTGTGGGTGCAAGTGGGGCCAGCACCAGCAGCAGGTGTGAGAGGCAGTTGCTGGCCCTGATCACCCCTCAGGAGCAGGGGTATGTGGAGAAGCCCTCAGGGATAATAGGGGCCAGCAGCTGCTGCTTGTACCCACTATCAGTGCCAAGTGATTGGGACCAGCACTGGGCATGGGCTGAGGGTACAAATGGGGACAGTGCTGGCAGCAGGTATAAGCACCAGGCAGGACCATGGTATGCAGAAATTTTCAATAACCACCAGAGGTTTGCCCTGATGACGGTGACCAGTGCATTGCCTTCATCTGGTGCCCCACTCACCTGCTCCACCATGGCCGACACTTACCATGTTCCATGCTCTGCCACCGGCTATTGATGCCTGCCTCCTGATGGACAGCGGATGTCACAGCAACCAGCTGTTTGGTTGTTCCACCTTTCAGTCTATTTGCATATTAGCCTTTTATTATATAGGATTATCATATAGGATAGGAAAGGAGCAAGAATGGAGGCCAGGCATTACAGGCATGTCATTTGGGCAGCTTCACCAGGAAGCTGCAATTTCACACTCCCCAGGGAAACATGGGCCCATCCCCTGCATATCACTGCGGGGAGGGCTCCAACAAAAGGGAGACAAATACATACCCAGTGAATTTGGGATGACACAGGGAAGGTGATTAGCCATAATGAGCATGGCCACTGCAAGCCCATGAAATTTTGGGAATACATAATCTTCTACATAAACCAAGGGGTTTCCTCTCTTATTGATCTTGTGACTCTTGGTTCTCAGGGTTCCCTGTCTCCTGCTTCCTTACATTTGCCTGTGTTTCCTCCATAGCCATGTGTCCTTTCAACCCCCACAGGCAATGGACTGATGGAATACAGTGGGCAACAAACTATCCTAGCTTGATGCTAGATTGGACCCAGCTCCCACATGGGAAGCAAACTCTGAATCCTGACTGATTCCAGCCCTAGTGAAACCATGGCTACACTTTCTTTACATGGGACTGAGGAAGAAGAGACCTTGGAAACTCAGATGTAATTCCACAGAAATAAAAGTCACTCATTCTCCCAGGTGAGTCTCAGAAAATTCTTTTCCTCCAGGTATACAAGAATTCCACTCCCACAGGTGGGGATGAGGGCCCCAATTCACCAAACCCAAAACTTCCCAGATGTTTATCAAATGGAGACTGAACACACACAGACACACATACACACACACACATACATACATGCATTTAATCATGGCATACTCAATAAAATACTCCTCAGTGCTAACAAAGAGTAGGTTTCAAAAATACTATGCTGAATGAAACAATCCTTTCACAAAATAATACATATTCTAGGCTTCCATTGATATGAAGTTTTACAATTGGCAGAATAAAAATACAATGAACAAAACATCAGGACATGGATTGCCTCTAAGGGTTAATCCCATGACTAGGAAAGGACATGAGGGAGCTTTCTGGGGTAATGGCAATATTCTATATCTGTGTGTGTGTGTGTGTGTGTGTGTGTGTGTGTGTGTGTGTGTGTGAATCCCCACCCAAAGATATTTTCCCATTGATTTTTAGAGAGAGTGGAAGGAAGGGGGAGAGACAGAAAGAGAAAGAAACATCTATGTGAGAGACACATCAATTGCTTGCCTCCCTCATGGCCCTGACTAGGGTCAGGGATCCAACCTGCAACTGAGTTACATGCCCTTGATTGGAATTGAACTCAAGTCCCTTCAGGCTGCAGGATAACACTCTATCCACTGAGTCAAACTGGCTAGGGTCACTATTCTATATATTTTAATATATATATATATATATATATTTATTGATTTCAGAAAGGAAGGGAAAAAAAGAGAGAGAACAGCATCAATTATGAGAGAGAATCATTAATTGCCTGCCTCCTGCAAACCCCCAGTGAGTACTGAACCCTCAACCAGGCATGTGCCCTGACCAGGAATTGGATCATGACCTCCTGGTTCATTGGTTGATAACTCAACCACTGAACCACACTGGCTGAGCTTTTATATCCTGATGGTGGTTTGAGCTACCCAGGTGTATGCATTTGTCAAAAGTTCTAGAATAACAGACTTAGGATTTGCACATTTTATTATATGTAAATAGTGTCTATATAAGAGCACTGTCACTGTAAACAAATACTGAACTATAATAAGCATATTGACATATTTAGAGATAATATATATTAATATTTGTAATTTAAGAATTCATCAACTCCCATTTGACCCAGTGATCCTACTTCTAGGAATATATCCCAAGAAACTAGAAACATCAAAAAGGATATATACACCCCTATGTTCATAGCAGCACAATTCACCCTAGCAAAGATTTAGAAACAGCCTAAGTGCCCATCAGCAGATGAGTGGATTTAAAACTTGTGGTAACATCTACACAATTGAATACTATGCTGCAGTAAGAAAAGAAGTAATTTTTACCATTTGCAACAGCATGGATGGAAGTGGAGAGCATTATGTTAAGTGAAGTAAGCCAGTCAGAGAAAGATAAATACCACATGATCTCACTCATTTATGGATTATAATGAACATAAATTGATTAACAAAAACAGATCGAGAGACAAAGAAGCATTGATCAGACCGTCAAACCTCAGAGGGAAGGTAGGGGAAGGTGGGGGTAAAGGGGAGAGATCCATCAGACTTGTATGCATGCCTAACCAATAGACACAGATACCAGGGGGGTGAGGGCATGAGTGAGGGGAGGTTGGGGGGATAAAGACACATATGTAATACCTTAATCAATGAAGAAAAATTAACAAATAAAAATAAGAGATTCTCTGAATTCAGCCCAAAGGCAATGAATAAAGTGATATTTTCCACAAAAAAAAAAATGCATCAAACAGCCAAAACCGGTTTGACTCAGTGGATAGAGCATTGGCCTGCCCACTGAGGGTCCCCAGGTTCGATTCCGGT